AAGGAAAGCTCTTTACCAAAATATTTGCGAGATTTTATGCTTGCCATTTTAATTAAACTAGCCAGTGTTTCATAATATGGTGTTAGAACTTGTATAGGAGACATAAGCAAGTGTAACCATAATAATGGTCCTTTTTGCCATAATATAGTAGTTGGAGTCTGAACAGTAGCCAAAATATATATATATCCCATTTTTTGAATAATGTATATATTGAACATACTGTTTTTTAATAGCTAATTTTATCTTTTGCAAAGCATTATGAGCTTCTTTGGTAAGTTCCCTTTTTGACAAAGGTTTAGCCTCTCCTTTTAAAATGTCAAAAAGTGGTTTTAGTTTTTGGTTTCCTAGTAGTTAACTTCAAATGGGGTCTAAGCCAATTAATATCACCTTTTGAAAATCATTTAAAGTTTTTAGGTTTTTTTCTCAATTGAGTTTTTTGAGGCATAATAATCTGAGGGTATGCAAATAAGGTGACTGTTTGCACCTTTTCTGGTGTAACTATTAAACCTTGAACCTTCAAAGTTTGTTGTAAGTGTTCAAAAGCACTTAATAAAATTTTTTCATTCTTATGAGCCAATAAAATGTCATCCATGTAATGAATAATGAATAATATAATGAAAAATATGCTTTTCTAGTTTTAGCAGTTTGAGCCATAAAATTCTGACATAAGGTTGAACTGTTTGCCATACTTTGAGGTAATAATGGCCCTTTTTCCAGTTTCCTTGAATTAAAGGGTTTCCTGCAGCATCTCTTTTAGACTTATATTCATTAGCCCAATGCTTTCCTCTTTTATATCTTGGACATAGACCTTTTGACTCCCTTCTTATCAAAATGAGGACAATTTTTTCTTTGATGTCCCATTCGCCCATAACTACCAGATATTCCATTCTTTGGGCCTTTTTGTTGTTGAAATAATACCTCTTTAATAGTCTTCTCTTGTAGGGCAGCAGCCATAGCCATTCCTTGAGTATAATGTGGTCTGATGTCAGAACATAACCTAATATAGTTAGAAATATTTCCTTTTTTCCTAAAGGGTCTCAAAGCTGTTTAGCAGGCACTGTTAAGCATTTCATAGGCCAATTGTTTTACTGATAATAATTCAGAATCTATATCGCCTAAAACCCTGCTTGCTGCTTGCATTAATCTTGCTACAGAATCTTGAAATAATTCTCCAGGTCTCTGACAGATTTTTAATAAATCCTTCATCTGTCTACCTGTTTGCAAAAGTTTATTCCAGGCCTTTTGGGCAGCAGCATTTACTTGAGCATAAATGGTCACATCAAAATTCAATTGTTTTCCTGTTTCCCTTCCCAGCAAGCACAAAGTTATAGGTACTCCTTGAGCTCGATTGAGCTGTAACTTGCCAGTGCTTTGTAATTTCTGACTTCCATAATAAATGATCTCCTCCTGATAAACATACTCTTGCTAATTGCTTCCAGTTCCCTGAGTAGAGGACCTCGGTAGACAAGGACTCTAACAGGGCTTGAGTAAAAGGCTTAAGTTTTTAACACTTATAGCCTGAATCGGAGGGTATCTCTCAGAATACATGTAGCTGCTTTTTCCTCCAACTCTGCAACCTTATCAGGATCTAAGTCATCCTCACAGTCTTCTTCTAACAAGGAATTATTATCATCAGGAAGGACATAAAACTCTCTGGAAGAGCTGATGGTTTAATCTCATTTTGTCCTAAAGCCTCCCATCTTTCCAACCTCTTTCTTTCTCTCTAACCCTGAAAGTTTCACTTTTTCAGTTCCATGCCGCATATTCAGATTATCTTTAATTAAATTCCCTACAAAAAACATGAGGCTGCCTTGTCCCATTTTTACTCTCAAATTTTACTCATTGCACTCTTTTCTCTTTATGATCCAAGCTTGCCAATACTTGTGGTGTCCTTCGTTGTTTCAATGTATCTCAGTGTCCCTGTTCAGACACCAAACTGCTGGAGCCCACCAGCAGAGTTGAACAGTGCTTGAGTGAGTAGTGAGAATTGAAAGAAAATTTAAAAACCAACACACTATACATCCGGTCTGTTTGAGAGGTCTGCCAGTCAGCCCAGTTTATTACATAATCCCTTTTCATAGTCAGAGCCTTAGAACAATGAAGGAGTTCATGAAGAAGTCAAACTTGTTTACCTCGACCATCTGTCTGTGTGATCCTCACACAAACAAAAGGAAGTGAACTTGGCAAAATATCGTGCCTGCTGTCTCAAACAAAAGGAAGTGAACTTGGCAAAATATTTTGCTTATTCCTGACTCCAGGTGAAGGCCAGGGTGAAAACATGGTTTTTTGCTAAGAGCTCAATAACAAAGCAGCCTGACAAACAGGTAGCTCTCCACACTCTAGAAAAGAAGTCACTTTAGTTTTAGAAATCAAGTTAGTGGTCTACATTTAGCATGTTAAACCAATATGGAAGAGCTTTACGTGATGGTCTAGACATGGCCAGCACACATAGTGTAAGTGGTAGTGAAACTTGTAACTTGTACAGGTAAATAAAAATAAAACAGAAAAATAGAATTACCATTAATTTCACCAATGTGAGATTATTCCTTCTGTTTACTTTGACCTACACATTTCTCTACACATCTGCTGTAAGATAGACTAATGCCTGAATTTTATCAGGTGCTATATGTACTATCTTGGCATCATTTCTTCAGAATATTTGATCACAAACAACTGACTGCCAGCAGTAAATGAAAATACCTAACTAAACATTTTCTCCCCCCTCCTTTTTTCTCTCTCCTCTCTGTCCATTTTAATCATTTTTAAAACAAACACTTGATTTAAATGTCAGGCTATGTTTTACTCCAGCATAGATAACTCAAGTCGTTTTTTTATAGATTGTTTTTGTACTTACTAACAGGTTTGGGTAATTGCAACAAATAATAAAAAGCCTAATATTTATTATCTATCCTTTTAGTAAAATAATTGGCTGACTTAGAAACAAATAAGGTACTATTTCATGGAGATGCTAATAAGCTACCTGAAGAAAACTAGGGCAGGGAAACACTATTTTATAATTTTTAGTTGCGTCAACCCTTATTTCACATAATTATATAGTAAATCATGTGAAACCATAATATTCATAATCCTGAAATTAATTTTAATAGAGAAACTGGCTCAAAAATATTTTGAGTTGAAGACAAGAGAAAGACATAAAAGAAGGAGGGATAGGAAAGGAAGAAGTCAAAATATCTGTCTTAGTAGATGATGATTCTGTTATTTAAAAAAACCTCATTATCTCTATTAGAAAACTCTTAACCCATTAAATATAACATAAAATCACAATATAAAATAAAATATAAAATCAGTATCAAAAATCCTTTATATAGATCAACAGCATACTCTAAGAGAAGGAAATTGGGTAAAATATCCCATTCAAATAACTCCAAAAATAATCAGGAAAAGAGAACTTCAAGACCCTAGAAGGGGAAATCCCAGAAGATACTAGATGATGGCAAGAACGTCTATCCTCCTGGATTGACAAAATTAATATTTTGAGAATGGCTGTGAAACCAAAATTAATTTATGGATTTAATGGAATGTTTGTCAAAATTGCGATGTCATATTTCGTGGGTTTAGAAAATACAAGAATTTGTATGGGCCCACAAAAGCCCACATACCAACCTCAGAATATTCGGCAGGGCTACAGTGATAAAGACAGTTTGATACTGGCATTTCAAAACAAACAAACCAACAAAAAAACAGATAGATGGAATAAAAATAGTGGACCAAGAAATGAGAAAGCTATGCCTGTTTTTGACAATGGCAAAATACTCATTTGAAAAAAAAAAAAAAAGAAAGTGCTGGCAAAACTGGATGTTCACATGCAGAATGACTTTGGATTATTTAACCTTAATTCAGAATGGATCAAAGACCATTGAAACTTGTAGAGGAAAACATACGGAGTATCCTTCAAGACATTGGGGTAGGCAAGAACTTGAATAGAACACTAAAACGCAGGAACTTGTCCCAAGTATCAATGTATGGGGACAGAAAAATAAAAATGTTTGTGTAGCAAAAGAGACTATTAGCAGAGTAACAACCTATAGAATGGGAGTAAAACTTCACTTCAGACAGAGGCTAATGTAAATTCTGGATTTACAACTAATTGCAAAAATTAATACCCAAGGAAATAAAAATTCTAATCAACAAGCAGGCAAATAAATGAAACAGTTTTAACAAAACCACGTAGATGGCCAATAATTATTTTAAAAATTGTTTAGTACTTTGAGATTCTACCTCAGCCCAATCAGAGTGGTGTTAATCAACAAATTTGCCAAAATGTTAGAGAGAGAGGAATCTTTATCACAGTGGGGTGCAAATTAGTACATCCATTATGAAAATGATTCTGTGTATGTGCATGTGTGTGTGTGGTTTGGTTTTGTTTTGTTTGCAACAGGTTTTTTTCTGTGTAGCCTTGGCTGTCCTGGACTTTGGAGACCATGCTGGCCTTGAACTCACAGAGACCCACCTACCTCTGCCTCCCTGAGTGCTGGAATTACAGGCGTACACCATGGCGCCTAGCTGTGTTTGAAAATTTTTTTAAAAAGGTACAAATAGTACTACTATTTGACACAGCTACTTCACTTTAGGTATATACCCAGTGAAATCCATGACCTACCATAAAGATAATTGCTCCTCATATTTATTGTTGCTTTATTCACTATAGTAAAGAGTTGGAATTAACCTACTTATCCATCAACAAATAAATGTATAATGAAAACTTGGTATATCCATAAATGGAATACTGTTCAGCTTTAGAGAAAAAAAAAATCACAGAATTTGAAAGAAAATTAATAGAATTAGAATAGACTTAAGAGTATATATATTAAGAGAGAAACCTTTATTCATTGTTGGTAGGAGTATAGATTAGTACAGCCAGTGGGTTAATGAAAAGGCTTTCTCAGAAAATGAAACGGCCTTAAAGCTTAAAGAAATGCATAACTTTTAGCTTGTTTTCTTTATAGCAGTACATAATCATATAATTCATTGCTTTTCAGATGCGGTGGTGCTAGAATTTGTTATATTTTCCATGAGACTTTTGGGCGAACTTTAGAATCTGTTGACCCACTAGGTGGCCTTAACACTATTGACATTTTGACTGCCATTAGAAATGCTACTGTGAGTATGCTTAACAAGAAAAAGGTTAAAGCTTTGTTTGAGCATGTTTTAAGTTGATGCACAGTTTATTTTGTTCTCATACTTGAAACATTTTTCATGAAAATGAACAAGAATAAGATTATTTTTTTAATCTTTTGGAAGACCTAACTAAACTTGTACATAGCTACAATAAGAGAGCCAAGTTTTGTTGTTTCAGGGCCCTCGTCCTGCTTTATTTGTGCCTGAAGTTTCATTTGAGTTACTGGTCAAACGGCAGATCAAGCGTCTGGAAGAACCCAGCCTCCGGTGTGTAGAGCTTGTTCATGAGGAGATGCAGAGGATCATCCAGCACTGTAGCAATTACAGCACACAGGTACACATGTGACGGAACAGGCTTATCAGGTCCTTTCTCAGAGTGGGCGGTGTGAGCTAAAAGTCAGAGCACTCATTTCCTGACTTAAGAGTGATTTCAAATGGCATTCTTAAATGTAAGTTCCCAGTCTAACTCAGTACTTCAGTGATTATTTAATTCTCAATTAAACAGTCTGACATTTTTACTTCTTTATTGCATACAGGAATTGTTACGGTTCCCTAAACTTCATGATGCAATAGTTGAAGTAGTGACTTGCCTTCTTCGGAAACGGTTGCCCGTTACTAATGAAATGGTAAGCCACTGTCAGGCTTGAAAGGCTTAAAACTTCGTTGTTTGTCAGGATAACATTATGATTGTTTCAGGCATGTTTCCCAGTGTACTTTGCAAGTCATAGGTATTTAACTCTTACTCCCAAAGAAAGTTTTTAGTAATTCTAGTATACAGTATTTTCTGACATTTTAATCATTGCTTTCCTGAAATTCTAAGTTTTTATGAGGATGGAATATTGTTGAAGTTCTTGGGTAGCTGATTCTCTTCTGTGCTGCCATTGATTTTTCTGGGAAATTAGTTCTATCTCTGGACTCAGTAAACCAGACCTTTACAGCAAGTTTACTTTTAGTCTGAAGCACACCAGGGTAATTTGGCCTCTTCCACATTTTGCTTGTTCTGTGTCCTAATGATAGGAGTTAATTGTTACTGTAAGTGAGATGTAGCGGTCCACCCCTATCCCCATAAAAAAATGCTAAAATTGACAGAAATGTGAGCTGAAGTATTTGAAATTACATTATGCCCCTAATTGGTTAGGAGCTTTTTGTTTTTCTTTTGACCATTAAAACTAATTTGAGCATCACTTGTAGTGTCCTTGGAACTCTTGGTTGAGTGGTTGCTTGCTTAGCAGAAATTACTGTTAGAGTCAGATGCCCAAGCCTGATCTAACACTATAGAATCATGGGAACTTCATGTCACCAGCTCTGCACCATTAAGTATTCTGGAACTTGAGATAAGGCAGTCATAAGAGTCTTGGTTCCTTTTGTGCTACCTGCAGAAGAAATCTTCTGTTGTTGTTTTTTTTTTTTTCCTCAGCATATATTTTTAAAAAGTTTTATTCTTTTTTTACACATATTTTTCCCAAACCAAATACCATTACAGACGGTTGTGAGCCACCATGTGGTTGCTGGGAATTGAACTCAGGACCTTTGGAAGAATTGCCAGTGCTCTTAATCTCTGAGCCATCTCTCCAGCCCACGGTCCTCAGCATATTTCTATCTGTATCCTGTGATTTAACTAGAAGCACTATAACCTTGGCCAACAAACAACTCTTGGGTTAACAAGTAGCTCACATTGTGTAATAGTTCATTTGGTACTTGATAAGTAATGTTTTGATAACTTTTCTTTTGTTCAGAATTGGCAGTGGGGGAGTCAGTTTTGGAGAAAAGCTGTGACCAGAAACATTTAAAGGCTAGAAGATTAAAAAAAAAAAAAAAAAAAGAAAAGAAAAGAAAACACTTTAAAGGTGGCCATGTAAACAATCCCTTACCCTCTCCAATATTTCTGTAAGCAGCCCTAATGAAACTCAGTGGGTCATTAAAGACAATTGAAAGAAGAGGGGCTGCTAGTTGTGAAGAAGAAAGGGATCAGCAGGAAGGGGAGGGGGACTTATGGTAGTGGTGAGTATGATTAAAGTACATTATAAACATGATGAAAACATCACAAGTAAAGCCAGTTATGAATAACTAACATATATTATTTTTTAAAAGATAAAGATTGATGCTTAATCTCTGTAAGCCTTAGGAATTCTGTAGAAGACTAAAAACATAAATTTTCACTTTTCCTTTTGATTGCTGTCTCATTGGAATTTTAGCCCTGTTGATTTCAATTATGTGCTTCATGGTTAAGGCTAAGTTATTACTAACTTAGGCTTAAATATGTTTACTATCAGGGGAAAATTAGCATCTTTAACTTATCTCTACTGATGAACTATTCTTGCTAAAACTGAACATAAACTTTGACACTGTAATGCATGGTCTCAAATTTGAATAACAAAGTTGTTTATTGAACTTAAAATTACATCAGGTAGATAACTTTCTGCAGTAATAGGAAAGCTCCCTTAATATCATGTTTCCTTAGAAGTGCAATTTTAAATTTGAAAGGTAAATAATTTAGAGCTAATTGTCATTGGTAATGGAATATTATTTGAGGTATAGTCATGAAGTATTTGAAAATGTTTCTTAAACTTTTGCAATATTTCTATATAAGTTTTTATATTTAGACTTCTCAAAGTTAGGTTTTCCTGGTAATTTTTTTAATATTAGCCTTATTTTGTTTTTTGTAGGTACATAACTTAGTGGCAATTGAGCTAGCTTATATCAACACAAAACATCCCGACTTTGCTGATGCTTGTGGGCTAATGAACAATAATATAGAGGTAAGTCATTATTTTCAGAGGTTGGAGATGAGTTGCAAGTAATTTCATACAAGAGATTGGCATATTCTTGTATGCCTAGGAAATATGCTAAAGTCATTACATTGTTCTCATAATTCTAGTTCTCAGAATCACCTGGAACAGTTAGTTTTACTTTGTCCTTACCAAACAAAAAGGATTTATTGATTAGCGTATGGTTTTTGTTTTGCTTTTGTAGTTTGAGTGACATTTAAGGCTTTATATTTTTTATGAGGTATATATGTCTTCAAATTCTTCATGGTGTGTTGAAAAGCCTGTGTTCCGTATGGATGTGGAGATAGTTTAAGTCAGTGTGCATAACTTCCTAAGGAAGAGATGTTTGTCAACTCCCTTCATTTGGGAGCCCCTGGTAAAGGAGCCACTGTTGCTATGTGTGTTGAATCCCGTAACAGATATGTTTGTGTAAAAACAAACATAGGGAAGCATTAGGTTTCATGACTTTGTTTTAAAATATAATCAAGTATGGCGTAAGTTCCTAGAGTAATACAATAACTCTGTGAGATACTCCATAAAACTTTTCAACTAAGATAAACATGCTGTACTAGGCCCATATCTCAATATTCTGGTAATTACAAAGGCTTGGTTACATTTTATAGGAACAAAGAAGAAACAGGCTAGCAAGAGAACTACCTTCAGCTGTATCACGAGATAAGGTAAATAAATGCAATTGTTTTTATAGTTTATTCCCCACACTCAAAGATCAGCCTCAGCCGGGTATATTTCTCTGTGAGAATGTATTTCTCTTCTTCTGTCTCTAATACTTTAAGGGTTGCTGAAATAAGAGTATACAGGTTTTTTAAAGCTTAGAATAATTTAATAAGAAAGGTGGCTCTTAGGTGTCAAGGTTTCTTTTTTAAGATTCGTATTTGTTCAACAGTGATTTTATCATAAGTGCTTTTGGAAAGACGAGGGAAGGCAGCTGTGTATGTAATAAGTTTTAATTTTTAGCAATAACTTTCAACAGTTCTTATACCTCTTACCTTGAGTTTCTTGTCAGAAAAGATCTTACTAAGAACCCTTCATCCACTCCATACCCACCCCCAGATAAAGCAGCAGCAGCAGCTTTTGGATTTGGGTTTTCTTGTTAATCTGCAGAAAATCTTAACAAGTGACAGTGGTATGGGAAATAAGGAATATATCATCTCCATGGTTCCTTTTATTTTTTTTGTATGACTTTACTATTTCATTATAGAAGGAAAATTTTGTCTATGAAATGTTTCCAAATGCATTTTTGGCATCCTTGATTTTTTTTTTTTTTTCCCTCCCCTGCATTTTTGCCTTTAGTCTTCTAAAGTTCCAAGTGCTTTGGCACCCGCCTCCCAGGAGCCCCCCCCTGCTGCTTCTGCTGAGGCTGATGGCAAGGTCTGTTCTGATTCCTAATCTAAGCCTGCATGCCTAGTTTGGAGACAGTACACTGAATAAAACAATATAATGTCGGATATTGTGGTTAGACTATGTTAGCCTAATGTAAGATTTTAAATGGTAAAACAAAGTATGTGTCATACTATTATTGTTGACATTCTTTCCTTTGCTTGCGTTATAGAAGATATACACAGAAAAATAATTCTAAAAGGAAACTATCTTCTACTTTAAAATTTTCAAGCCATTGCTATTTAAATCTTGCTTGTTAAATTGCATGTTTTAACATATCTTTTAACAGTTAATTCAGGACAGCAGAAGAGAAACTAAAAATGTGAGTCTCTTGCTTCAGATGGAAATGTTGGTTCCTTTGGTTCTTACTAAAACACTTCAAATTCATCAAGAACCTGTTTGTACAGTGGCCTCTGTTTTTTGTTGTCTGTGTTATGGTCTTAATGTTTATCTAACCCTTGTAAAGTGGCATTAGTCTAGCTTTAACAGTTTTAACTAACAGTAACCTTTCTTACTGCTGTTACCTTCAAGATTCACTTTCAATATCTTCTTTTGGAAGAGATTAAGATTTCTGAGATGGAAATGCTACTTTGGGACACTTCCTCTGTAAAGGTCTGAGCTCTGACCTCTCCAGTGCTTCCATTAGTATATATATTTAACTCTTAAGTATAGCATTTCACATGTGCTTTCAAAGCTTACACAAATTCAAAACATGGAAACTGTGAGAGTTTAAGGCTTGTCAATTCTTGGTAATAGTATTCACAGAAAATCATGTGTAGGATATCCAGACCTATTCCTTTTCCATTTTTTTCTTTCATTACATACTTTCTAAGTTTATCTCACCCTCCAATCCTTACAGATATCTCCATGTCTCAGCTATGATCTTCAGAGAACCATGCAAATTACTGCACAAGTTTTATTCCATTCCTTGTTCATTTTCCTTATGATTTCATTTGATTTATTATAATTCATGTCTATTTAACAAACACGAACATCTATATACAGACATTGCTTTTATATTTCTGACGCTTTGACAGATTTTTAAAATCTTAATGATTCTCCAAACTACTGTTTTTCTTACAAGTACCATAGCACTCCTCCGTTTTTATGATTTAGTCTATTACAAGACCTTAAAGAGGATCTAAGCACTAGTTTTCCAACTATGGTAAATAGTTGGGTTTTTTTGTTTTTTCTTTTTTTTTTTAAAAGTTCAGTCCTCATAAAATAAGGTTGCAGAAGCCATTGTGATGAAAGGTAGTAATGGATTCTCTCACTAGATTTTTTTTTCCTCAGGAGTACAGATCATGAGGGAGCTTATGTTGTGCTTATGTTAAGTTTCACATTTTAGGTAGTTTGTTAAATCTAATAGTTGGGTTTAAGGATGTTGTCTTCTTCCTTTAAAGAGATCTACTTTTACATTTGACTATGGGGGATATAGTCTAGTTTTAGAAATATGTAGGGCCATAAGCTCACAGCACTGTAAGATCATAGTTCAATGGCTAAGTGTTAAATTATTCTGAGATGAAACCAAGGGCAGTTCTGTTTCCTTGTGTGCTTTTAATATAGTGTTTGAGGAGTGGGGGAAATGTAACATTTTGATAAGTCAGTAAATAAAAATAATTAAATAGTTCATGAATTGGCAGAAAGCTTCAAACAGAACCCCTTAGATTTTTAGTATTATATATACAATATTCTGCCTGCATGTACACCTGCACAGCAGCAGAGGGCACCAGATCTCATTAGAGATGGTTGAGAGCTACCATGTGGGTGCTGAAATTGAACTCAGGACCTCTGGAAGAGCAGCCAGTGCTCTTAACTTCTGAGCCATCTCTCCAGCAGATTTTTAGTGATAAATGCCACCATCATCTCTGACTTCATTATCTGTCTGAATAAATTCCAGATAGTTACTACCTGTATGTTCTTGATTACCGTCAAAGAAAATGAACCTCATTTGTTGTCAGAGTACAGGGTTGGAACATGTGTTTCCAGGTTGCATCTGCAGGTGGTGGGATTGGAGATGGTGGTCAGGAACCAGCAACAGGCAACTGGAGAGGAATGTTGAAAACTTCAAAAGCTGAAGAATTACTTGCTGAAGAAAAATCAAAACCGATTCCAATTATGCCAGCAAGTCCACAAAAGGGCCATGCTGTCAATTTGCTGGATGTGGTAAGCCATGACAATTTTGTTTAAATCTACAAGTGAACCAAGTTAGTAGTGGACACTAAGCAGAAATTAAAGTCACAAAAAATTTAAATTTAAAGGTTCCCATTTCAAAATGGCACAGAAATAATATTTTTCTCTCTTTCAGCCAGTTCCAGTTGCACGAAAACTGTCTGCCCGTGAACAGCGAGATTGTGAGGTTATTGAAAGACTCATCAAATCATATTTTCTAATTGTCAGAAAGAATATTCAAGACAGGTTAGTATTAGTTAATATATAAGTACTGCTGGGTGAGTTCATGATCTGTTTTTAAAAATACATTAAAAATTTTAGATTAGCTTTGATTCTAAATCTTTTTTATTTTTGAGGCAGGGTTTCTCTGTGTAGCCTTGGCTGTCCAGGAGCTCACTTTGTAGACCAGGCTCGCCTAAAACTCAAGAGATCCACCTGCTTCTGTTTCCCAGGTGTTAGGATTAAAGGTGTGGGCCACCACTTCCCAGCTTTATTCTAAATGGGGTTTTTTTATTTAATTTTATTTTTATTATTAGTTACATTTTATTAACTCTGTATCCCAACTGTATCCCGTTCCCTCATTCCCTCCCAAGCCCTCCCCCCTCCCTCCCTCATCTCCTCCCTGCCCCTTTCCAAGTCCACTGATTGAGGAGGACCTCCTCCCCTTTCATCTGGCCCTGTTTTATCAGGTATCTTCAGGACTGGCTGGAAAGTCCTCCTCTGTGGCCTAGCAGGACTGCTCCTCCCTTGGGGGGTGGGGAGGTCAAAGAGCCTGCCATTGAGTTCATGTCAGAAATAGTTCCTGTTCCCCTTTATTCTAAATCTTAATGTCAGCTATAATAGCAAGACTTAAGTCTGTTGACTTGGAAGGATTAGGATATTATGTATCAGCTGGATTTTTTTTTTTTTTTAAATAAAACTATCTGGGAATACTAATATGTCTGCGATCACAGGTACAGGAAGATTAGCCTCAAGCAGAAAGATGACAGATACAAAGCCAGCTTGAGACATCCACCCTCCTTAAAACAAAACAGAAAAGGGTAGTGGCATAGTGTCATGGTATAGTATAGAATAGTATAGTTTAGTGTTAATGAGGCCCTTGATTCAATCACCTGCTGTGCTCTGAAAAATAGTCTGTTCTAGTAGTCTGCATGGTTACATTTTATTCCCTTTGTCAGTAATAGCTTCCTATCTGCCTCACCTCTAATATACCATGTCTGTGAATTAGCCTATCAGACACTACATATTAGCGGGAACACAATTAATATGTGACCTTTTGTCTGGCTTCCTTAATTTGTGGGTGTCCCTCCCCTTTTAAAAAATATTTGAAATTCCTTGTGTTTTGATTCTTTTAACTCTAACTCCCCCAACTCTTTCCAGATCCCCTTCTGCCCTTTCTCACCCAATTTGGGTCTTTTCCTTCCACAGTCAAAGCCAGTTTGTGCTGCCTGGTAGTCTTGAGTGTATGGCCTTCTACTAGAGCAGGCTTACCACTCAGAGCCTTTCCTAGCAGATGAGAATTACCATTTGTTCCTCTGCTGGGGATGGAACTTTGTACCCTATACAACCCTACTTGTGCTCAATTTTGGTCTTGGTTTAGGCTTGCATTGATCTTGTTTATTTGCAGCTGCCCTGCTGTGTCCAGAAAAGCGTCCTTGTCATCCACCACCTCTTCCACAATGATCCTTGGGAAGAGATACAGGTTCTCCATTTAGGGCTGAACGTTGTTCAGTCTTATTCTCTGCATCTTGGCCACTCATGGGTCTCTGTGTTACTCACCATCTATAATAAACTGTGGGTCTAGTGATAGGAACTGGTTTATTGCTATATACACTTAGTATAATAAGAATGGTAGGTTCTCTTTTAGGTTCTGTGATCTGTCTAGCCATAGCTTCTTGGCCCAGTAATGGTGCCAGGTATAGGATTTATCTCGTAGAGCAGGTTTAACTTCAGTCTACTTGTCAGTGTGTTTTAAACCTTGTCATACTATGGTGTGGAGAAACACTTCCTTTTTACAGTTGACTATAATACTGGATTATGATATAACATACTTTGCATATCTACTCATCACACAGTGAATATTTTTCAGTTTTGGCTGTTAAGAGGACTGGTCATTGTTGTGTTTATATATGGGATAATAAGTCAGAAGAATGGAGCTATCAAAGATTGTGACTTTGTTTATGCTTCATTAAATGAACACTGAAAGAGTATTTTACTAAGCATATTAAATATTCAGTTTATTTACCTAAATTATTTTACAAAGCCTATTATTTAAAGTCTAAACCAGTGGTTCTCATATGTGACCCTTTAATATAGTTCCTCATGGTATAGGGACCTCCAACCATGAAATTATTTTCATTGTTTCTTCATAACTGTAGTCTTGCTACTGTTATGAATCATAATTAAATATCTAATATGCAGGAAATGTAAGGGTTGTTTGACCTTCCTTTCCAAAGGAGTTACAACCCACAGCATGAGAACCACTGGTCTAGATTTTTGAAAATAGCATTGTTACCAAAACTTCATACATTGATTTTGCTTTGCAGTGTCCCAAAGGCAGTAATGCATTTTTTGGTTAATCATGTGAAAGATACTCTCCAGAGTGAATTGGTAGGACAGCTGTATAAATCATCCTTATTAGATGACCTTCTGACTGAATCTGAGGACATGGCACAGCGTAGAAAAGAAGCAGCTGATATGCTAAAGGTAACTATTAAGTTGTTTGAATTTCTCTCCTTGGATGTACACATACAAAATTAAAACTGTTCTGATCTTGCCCAACCCCCCCCCCCCAACCAGTGGTATCTGATTAGATTCAAATTTCAGAGAAGATACTGCCTTTTTTAAATGCATTGAAAATGGAGACATTTTTTTAGAAAATTCAGATTAACATTATAACTTGAGTTTTTAATTTCTTTTAATACAGGCGTTACAAGGAGCCAGTCAAATTATTGCTGAAATCCGAGAGACTCATCTTTGGTGAACAGATCTGTTTAACACCCAGATTTTGTTGACTTGAACCTCCTAGCTACTGCCTAACTGAGTAGAAGTTTATTTATGAACTCTTGTATATTGCAGTGTATGAGTTTGCTCATGCGAAGACTGGCTATACGCTGAAAAGTATACTCTGCATTATGAAACAAATCACATGTCTAATTCACATTTTTCAAGTTCCCTTTGATACATGTATATCAAGTCTGTCCGTTTCAAACTTACAAGTTTATGTTGTACTGTACAAAGGAATTTTGCCTGTGCATATGATGACCCGTGTAACATTTTTTAGTCTTAAAGCTGCAGCTGTAGTCCTCAAAAAGGAAGCTCCAGGACATTTCATGACTATAATGCATGCACTATTTTTATAGACTGGCCTGGCTTTAAAAGATGCAGGTTCCTCACATAATCAATGTATCTACCTATCCTTCATTTTTATAGTCTTAAAAAACAAAACAAAAAGACTTGCTGTTATAAGTAATGTATAAGATCTGAAAGACTCAAAGATGAAGAAAACAGACTGTGTAGCTAGTGGCTCCTCTGAGTCCATACTGCCTTAGAGTCTTAGAAATTACAATATGCTTTGATTCATAATTAAGGCTGAAAACATGAATTGACTTTCTGCATTAAAAAACATTGGGAACTATCCTGGTAACAATGGCCGGTCTTGTTAGTTTCTGAAAAATCTAATGGAGACCTAGAATTTCCCTTACTTACAAATACAGCAATAGCAGTTCAGATACACCCTTAATGTAAGGCACTTGCATTGGGCTCCAAGAAGTGGTTCTTAAAATTCTACTCTTACATACACTGGTAATGGTTACTTTAGTTCCATACCAACAGAATATATAAGAAAAATTGTATGAAAATAGCAGTGGAACTTAAAAAAACCTGGACATAACACATACACCTAAAAATTTGTAAACTATTAAATCTTATTCAGGGTTGAGGGTAACAAAATACAACCTATTTTGTGAAAATTGCCTGGGCAATTCATGGTGTAAACTAAGCATTAAAAATTTTTCAGACCAAAGTAGAAATCTTTGGTGTATCTAGTTCTATCTCTGACCAAATAATACATTAGTTTTATAAATGCTAAAATCTCTTTTCAGGTTATGGCCAGGCATTTCATGAAGTATTATTAGGAAGGAAAACAAGGACATGTTATCTTTAGTTTATGATACACATTGAGTGATCTCAAATATAAAAAGGCTCACTTTAGTCCAATGATACCATACTCAGTCTGTTAATAGTGACAGCTTGACTGTGAGTGCACACTGCCTAAATATGTTAGCACACTTAAAAAAAATTCTGCCTTCCAACTATTAGGTATCCATGATTTATTTTTCAAGAGAGAAGACTACCACTGTAGCCTTTTTAATTTGTAAGGGGAAAAGAATGTACCTTTATCCAACATTTCAAATAGGTTGTAAATGGGAGATGTTAGCTTTAAAAATACCCTATTATAATGTACTTGTTAGCACTACACACTTTGTACAAAGAAAAACAACCAAGAAACGTAGGGAAAGAGAGAAGCTTCTTTTATGTGCTTTTACACCGAGTTGTGTTCTGAAACATGGAGATAATCTGGCATATTTACAAGACCACTGTATGTTCTTTCTATGTAAATAAAAATGCTGGTATGAAATGGCATTTAAGTTTGCCAGTATATTAATTTTTCCTGACTTGCCTCAGAAAAAGCTTCAAATAGCTGTATCTTTTAAGCATCTGAATCTGCTTCATAATTTACCTAATGTAACTAAAGTTAAATTACTTGTACTGCACCAAAACTTTTATGGCATTTCTTTCTATTAGACTGTCACCACCAAGGCCTTGTTACATTTCCATGTCTACAGATGAAGACAAACTTGTCCCAAGTAATCCAGGGATAAATGCTCAGAATGTGAACATCACACTTTCCTGCAAGACTGAGAAGCTGATACACACTACTTCATGCTTCACTCGCTCCCTGTGCACATTGGGGTGGCAATTTTTACAGAAAGTTTTGGAGAATTAACTTGCCTAGTATGTACAAACCTGAATGAGTTTGACCTCAGGACTTACTGTATCTTTGCTCTGATGACTGCATACTTGATGAGATACTTTGTTTCTTTGGTTCCTTAAAATGTCTGCCTTAGGAACCCACTGACAAAAACATGAGCAAATGAATTATATTGAGACACAGGCACAGAAGTGAAAAAACATACTACAAATGAAGTCTGGTACTCTTTGTGTTTTGTTTAAGAAACTCTTTCTTACTACAGTTTCTATTGGCAAACACTGCCACATTCTGCTTCATTTCTGTGTGCTTCTTAGCATCAGAAATACAAGTTTCCAACAGATTTCTCACCTTTAATGGACACCAGAAGCTTGACTAGTTTACAAAACTGTGTAACACTACTGAAATAAGTGTTCTGCAGCTTACATAATGTATAATCTCATAGGTCTTTATAAAAAAAAAACAACAAAACAAGCTATAATTAAATAACACTTTATTTATCTTAAATAAAATTTTTAAATGCACAAGAAATATTTACATTGTGAGGGAGACCTTGTATATATTCATTCTTGCTTTTTGAAAATAGATGGACAAATTTTGACAAAATCACAATTGAAGCCATTTTATAATGTAAAAATTCCTTTTTCCTATTTTAAGTAAGGAGAGTCCATTCTTGAGAATGTGTTGTCCAATTACTAAGACACTCTCAGGATTTGTTACCTGTCTGTGATTTATACTGACTCCACCTTCTGTTATCATCCGATACCTGCAAATAGAAAGGTTTTATAACTAGAAGCATCCAGTTATCCTCACCTGACCTGATGGCTACTCTTGAGGTGTCAGTAAGGTGCCCATGCTAACCTGGACTCACACTGCCGCTCAGACAGGTCCTAGAGTTTTGATCTTCCTGCCTCAACTTGCCAAGTATCTGAGATTACAGCCTGTACCAGCAGGCTCAAATATATCACCTTTTTGACACATTCACCTCATAATAGTTTTAAATGGAGATTAACTTTCAGAATTTCTCTATTCTTGTCCCCGACAAATTCCTGAAAGAAAAAAAAAAAACAAAAAAACCCCCACAATTTTGCTTTACAAATACCCCTACTTGAATCTTTAGAAAAGTTAATAGGAACTGGAAAATTCTGAGACTATAAATAATAGTCTCAGAATAGCTGGTTTAATAGCTATGATAGCAGAGGTAGGTTTAACTGAATTTAATACCCAGTTCATTAAATAAGGTGCTTACAATGTACTCAACATTACTATCACAGAGATAAAGACAATGCTACCACACCATGTCTTAGCACTATGTTGTGCTTCTCTGGAGGCACACTGAGGGTTATGTAAGAGCTGTGGATTTTCCTGACAGGTAAGATGTGAAGACACTGGATGACTACAATAATTTTGAAAAGGAGAGGTAACATAAAAGAAAGTCAATGAATAAAGTAAATACTGGCGTCCTTGTATCAATAAAGCTAAGCAACTCACTGAGACAGCTTTATAAAATCAGGAACTTTCCATTGAGACATACAGTGCTTTCCTCTAGGCAGACTGAACCTATTTATGGTATGAAAAATGCATTATTCTTCTGACTCTGGCCAATCTGGGTGCTTTAAGCAGAGGTAAAACTTAGTGACCAGCAAATTACCAGAGTGGAGTTCACAAGAAAATGCATAACACTAGACTTACTGTATTTTGACTACAGGCTTAAATTTGGTGCACTTTAATTAAATATATTAGAGAATAAATAAGATAGTCATGAACAGAGAGCGATTTGTCTACACACAGAAAATTAGGTATCACAACTGAAAGAAAGCAACTGTAACAAGCAAATGACAGGGACTCTGTACAGAGTACCACAGATAAGGCATCAGTGGTTTTTTTGACTACTCCTTTTCCTTCTTGTTGCTGTTCAGTTGTAAATGGAAATTACATGCCAAATCACTTCTTTTAAAGCAAAAGTATTATTCCCTAATAATATGGTAGAACTGAGGAATTATGCCATTTCCTTCTACAAAAGAAAAATACAATTCTTAAAGAAGAATACTCTCCAGTTTATAAGTTTTATAAAGTTCTATTTATATGCTCATTTCAGTAATTAAATTTTAAAATAGTTCCTGTCCTCCAAACCAAGGCTACAGGATGAGTATGAGGGAGGTCATGAGAATCAGATCTCTGCACTGACTGACCTAGTGAAACATTGAATGAAGGAGTGCTGTCAGTTTTACTTTATACTTGGCCTTAACCTACCTTCTACAAGAAATAAGTTACATTAAAGCATTATCAGGAAAACACTCCAGATACATACTATTGAGTACAACATTTCATAGTGAATTAAGAATCACAAAGTAAAACCTTACCCTCGGGGACCATCTGGAATGGCATTTGCTTTACGGCATGTGTCTATGACACTTGTTCCAGGGTCGAGAACTAATTCAGAAAATGAAGCTTCTTTAAACAATTCTTTTAACTCTTGGTCAGACATGACCTCCAGTGCCTCTATGCTGCTATGGTAAAGGGCTTGTGTACATCTGAAAAACATTAAGCCACATTAGGGTATGCTTATGTGCCCCCCCCCCCATTATGGAGTGCCACTATGTTCCACAGTACAGTTTTTCAACTACAGCATCTATTTTGTGTAATTTAATAAGTTAATTTTTATCCAATAAGACAATTTAAAAAATAGTTAAATACAGTCCAGGCTAGAAATTCACAAAAAATCCCCCTACGACGTAATTTCTAATTTGTCTTGTCTACCCACTAAATCACATTAAATATTGACTTCTCTAGCATTCCTTAGTTGCTGGTAGCTCTTTGTTGAGGTGTGGGGCCTCACAAGGTTTTCCCTTTCCCTGTTAGTATACTTTTTTAGGCAATCATATTGTTGTCTTGTGGGGGAAGCTTCCCTGTCATTTCTAGGAGACACAATCTCACAGCTAATTTCTCAGTCCTCTGGCTCTTAAAATCTTTCCTCCCTTTATTTCAAGATGTTCTCCAAGGCTTATGTGTAGTATTGTAGATATTGTAGACTAAGAGCATTAACTATTCTAAAGCTAACCTTTTAGCAGAATCCAGACCTTCTTGTCCATGAACAAGCTTTGTTACTTCTGCAGCAAGTCGTTTCTGAGGACCCCTCTTTTCTGGTTCTTTGACATGTAGCTGCATAATGTGCTCAATCTCTGGAAGGGGCAGGAAAGTGAAGAGCTTCAGGTACCTGCAGGACAAAGGATAAACCCTTCATGAGCATCATCTACCTGCCCCCTTATCTCGGGAATAATCATCTAAGTTCACTTTTGAATTTGAGTGAAAAAATGTAGAATGAACTTCTAAACTGTACACTTACACACATGTAACCCCAACAGACAATATTTTCCAATATTTGTTTTCCATTTTCCTTATGTAACAAAATGGCACAGAAATAAATGTTGGCTCCAGCCCCATTTCCTTTCCTTTTTTTTCCTCCTTTCTAAGCATACTTTGACATTTTTGTTTTATGTGTATCCAATGTATAACTCAAAAACTGATATGAACAGTATTCTGTATAATTTTTGAAAAATGCTATGTAGAAAAAGCACATTTATCACAAAGTTTATATGAAGCTAAAACCTATGAAATCATCCTTGTAAGAAATACAAGATTAGGAATAAAATCATGCAGAATACATTTTTTATTTCTAACTACTTTGCACACCAGCATGTTCAGGAGATTTATGAAGTCCTAAGTACAGCTTTTCAAGCTATTAATATTCTGTGATTTCCTCTATTGTGAGCATTGTGTGTACTTTTGAATATATGCTAATCATGCCATGAATACCTCCATATTGTTGGTACACACATGCATGAATTTGTTAGGCGTGTACCCAGTAGAGGTTATGTTAGAGCATAGCTTATGTACAAATTTATTTTAGTAAGGATTAGCAGTTACTATCTGAAAGATCTCTAAGTTTACTCTCCCAACTCTAGAATAGTTGATACTGTCATTCGTGGGGCAAGAGGAGACATACCATCACATCTGACTGAGATGGTCTCTTCCCCCTTTGACATGCATTTCGGGGAAGCTGGATCCTTGATTATATAACAAAAGACTTGAGGACAAAACCAGAATGAAGATTAAGATTACAGTACACAGCCAGGTGGCAGTGGTACACTGCTTTAATCCCAGCACTTGGAAGGCAGAGGTATACAATTTAGACTCCCATGACTAGGTATCATCACACAGCAACCTACATACAGGATTATGTGGCTAAGTTGCACAGCTCAAAAGGCGTCATTTACCACAGTGTTTAAAGATTAGACAAAACTAAAAATGTAATCAAAAACAAGCTGGCTTTTTAAAGAACACCGTTTAGATTTAGGGATGAGAGTAGGGTCTCATGAAGTTGTCTAAAATAGCCTAGAACTTAAAAAACTTCCAGCCTAAGCCTCTCATGAGTCTGGAATTAAAGGCACATTCACTGTCTGGGTCCAGCTGAGGAAAAGGAAAAACACCTACAGTTGTTTTATGATACACTAAAGAAAAACTTGAGAGTCCTGTGAGATGATTCAAAGGGAAAGGATGTTTAAATTTAAGATAAAAAGAAGTGAATAACCTAGAATATGCAAGTGATACAATCCTTGCTAGACAGAAAAAACCATTTGGTTTCTAGCCAGTCATTGTAGTGTTTATTTTAACCGGCAAACCTAGAAGGACTGTGGTGCAGTTTCATGCTTATCTAGCATGAATCCTCAGCACTTCCAAACAAAAACACAAGTTTGTAGAGAGTCTGTAACCCCAGTTTCTTTGTTGTTTTGAAACAGGACTTCTCTGCATAACTGGCTGTCCTGGAATTAGCATATACAGATACTAGGCTGGCCTTGAACTCGAGATCCAACTGTCCCTGCCTCCTAACTGGGATTAAAGGTGTACACCACGACTGCCCAGCAATTCTTATGGGGCTGAAGTAAGACTGAAGCCAGAGGCTATCCTGGGCAATTTTGAACATCTCAATTTTTCCCCAAACCTGGGATGTCGCTCAATGGTTAAGTACCTGCCTAATAGCCATTCAGCTCTGGGTTCAACTCTAGAATTCTAAAATTAAACAAAATTATGACAGCTAAATGACAATATCCTGTGACACAATGATTTACACCTTAAATAGAATTAATGTTTAAAAAAAAAAAGCCTACAAAGACTATGAAGATTCAACAGCTAAAACTAGATCATAACTACATATTAATTATCTCAGCTATTAAAAGCTCACCTTTCTACAGAGTCATCTTGCTGTCTGACAAAGAACTGATAAAGTTCAAACGGTGATGTTTTCTCTCTGTTTAGCCAAACCGCGTTGCCAGCAGACTTTCCCAGCTTTGCTCCGGTTGTACTTGTAATTATTGGAACAGTGATTCCAAATACATCTTCTCCAGTCAACCTACATATACAGTGATGATACTCTGTAAGCACAATTAGTTCCATCAAGCACAATTCCGATTTGAGTCTGGTTATTTGTATGTTTTTGTAACGGCCGTTCTCAATCTGGACTCTGGTCCTTAAGAACTGTAACAGCATGCACTTTATATTTACATCTGTCGTGCTGAACTGCAAACTGCATGAACACTTCTGAGCAAGCCAAAAGGAAGAGATTTTCCAAAGATCTGGCAGAAAAAAAAAAAAAAAAAAAAGGCAAAAAGGGGCACCAGGAAAGCATATTTAGCAGGTGGTTTTTTTTTTTTTAATGAGTTTTGTCGTACACGTGCCAGCCCTATACTACATGTTCAAGAAAACGCTGTGAACATGTTTATGAGGTCCAAGAGCTAAATTAATGCAGACATTACTAAACAGAAGTCCAATTATTTTCAGGATAACTAACAGAAGCAATTTCTCAAGTTAGAAACTAAGGGAGACTAAGGAAAAACAGACATAATTCAAATCTTGACTAGTGATCTCCTTCCAGCAGTTCTATAATAGGTCTATAACTCAGTAACTCGCAAAGGCAGTATCTTAGCATCTTCATAACGAAAAACGGGAATACTACTGTGTAAGTATTCGTCCCTGAATTTCTGTAGGATCTAATAATCCCAGCTTACTTGTGGATGAACTCGTATCCAGACACGATGTTGCCCAGCTGATCTGATCCGCCAAGCTGAACCCGGCATCCATAGTGCTGGAAGAGGTAGTAGAAGTCATAGGCCTGGAGCACCTGGTAAAAGAACTCGGCCAAGCTCATGCCTTCCGGGCTCTTGAGACGAGACTGCACGCTCAGCCGGCTCAGTAGAGTACCCATGCGGAAGTGGCCGCCCACAGTGGCCAGAAAATCCACTAGGTGCTGCTCCTGGAACCAGGCCGCGTTGTCCAGCACCGTGAACGTGCCCCAGGGTCGCCGGTCCGCGAACAGCCGCTCGTGGTTGGCTGCTAGGCTCTCGAGCCCTTGCCGCAGGGCGCGCGCGTTGGCCTGCACGCACTCCGCGCTCAGCGCCTCGCGCTCCTTGGTCCGGCCGCTGGGGTCTCCCAGGAGGGCTGTGGAGCCGCCCACGAGCGCGATCACGTTGTGGCCGGCACGCTGGAAGTGGAAAAGACCCAACACCGTTAGCAGGTGTCCCACGTGCAGCGAATCGCCCGTGGGGTCGAAACCGCAGTACACTGTCTGGGGCGACAAGCCCGCCCTGCGGCGGTCGAAGAGTTCGGGGAGCTCTGTCTTCGTGCCGCTCTCGGGGAAGAACTGCTGGAACAGGCCCCGGGCCCTTGGCGCTGCCAGGATTCCCCGCGCGCCTGAGCGCACCGCACGCAGCCTGCGCGCCCAAACTCGCGACTGGGGTACCGGGGACAGTTGTCTCAGTGTGGCAGCCGCCATCTTGCGGTGCACGCAAAGCCTGCTGGCCTCGGTGTTTCTGCGCATGCTCGGGCGGGGTGCATCTGGATAGGCTGTAGTGCTGTGGGCAGTCCTGGAATGTGGGCCCTGTGAGTTTCCTCTTGTGGGGTCCCCGCCCCTCCCCCCAGTTTCTTAGTGAGCATGGCACGATGGTACTTTCTGTGTCACCGCTGTTGTGAGAGACAGCACTTGGCGAGGTAGTAAGCACTCTACAAATGTTTACTGTCATTTAAATAATCATGCTAAAAGCTTGTGATGCACGGTTTCCTTGTAAGTCTCCGGCCAGTAGAAAGAGGAAATTTCGTTATACCGATTTCCCAAGTTAATGAGTCTCAGCACCCTTTCCCCGTCTTTAGCGTGTGTCCTGACGGTGGCAGTCTAAGCTATAGCGAGAGGAAAGTCAAAGACTCCCTAATGTTTATTACTTAACTAAACTCGGGGTCATTCAAATTCAGGTGAGGTGCTTTTAGGACTCCATTCACCAGGATGAGAATTCTCATTGACAGCTGAATGGCAGGTGAATCCCATTGTAGAATCAGACTCTCATTTCCTGTAAACATTTTAATTGGCATACATGAACTACACAAAATAATGAATTTGTTCTGAAGTTTTCATACCCGAAAAAACTATGGCCATACTTTAAATTGCAATTGCCGTTTGTTGGACTCCCTGAACTGCCAGTGCAGGAGGATTAGTGAGATGTCATTTGTGGACAACACCCACAAGAGAGTGAGAGAAGTGGAGGGTATGGTGGCAATTGAGTAATTTTCAAGAGGTGTGCTGGCTAGTTTTATGTCAACAAGACAAAGCTAAATTCATTGAGGTACTTCAACCAAGAGCGTGCCCTCAACCAGACTGACCTATGAACAAGGCAGTAGTGTATTTTCTTGATTGGTATGATGTGAAAAGGATCACGTCACTCTGGGTGGTGACCACTCTTGGGCTGGTGGTCCTGGAAAGCAGGCTGAGCAGGCATTATGGAACAAACCAGTAAGCAGCAGTGCTCTGCGACTTCTGATATAGTTCCTGCCTCCAGGATTCTTTCTGCCTTGAGTTCTTGCCCTGACTTCTTTGAATGTTGCATTATAAGCTATAAGATGAAATAAACCAAGTTGATATTGGTCATATTGTTTTATCACAGCAATAGAAACCCTAAGAAAGACAAGAGTCATTGAGTGCTTCCAGGGGAAGTTAAGAGCTGGGATTTCCTTCTGTAGTCATCTGAATTGAAACAAAGAGGCTGTTTGTTTTATTTTACTATCGGCTGATCTTTAAATATGGGATGCTCTTGGAGAGGAATCTAAACTTGGGGCAAGTCTTTTGGCTGAGAGCCATATGCAGATGGCATGCACACTTGTAGCAGTTCACAGACTTAGTAGCATGGTCCTGAAGCAGGGTCCTGACCCAGCCCAGACCATTTCCTACAGATCGTTCCATTCTCTAACACTATTAGGAATAAGCATAAGATATTATTTACTTTAGTGATTTATTAATTAGTTATTTTGATTAAGCTATGTAATTGCTTGTGTAATTATCAATAAGTTTAATTTCTTGTTGCCAATAATAGACAGGGTTCTATAATAGTAGAGAAAATGGCCAGAGTGTTCTTTCATGTTGTTACTCAAATTTTCTTTAAAATTCTAGTTGGAAAAAAAAAAAGTCAGGTGGTGGTGGCACACACCTTTAATCCCAGTACTTGGAAGGCAGGGGCTTGTGGATCAATTTGAATTCCAGGCCAACTAGGGCTATACAGAGAATCCCTGTCTTGGGAAAAAAAAAAAAATCTGGTCAGAATCTGCTGTTCTGTAGTTTTATGCCCTACACTTTGATCAGGAAATGAATATAAAATGCATAACAGGAAGTTCTTTTGAGCACCTAGCAGATTCTGTACTTACTACCCAGCCTGGGAAAAATCTTTGACTCATGAGTTTTGGGTTAATATGAGAAATACCTACATATCTGTGGCTTTAAAGGTCATGTCAACATTTTTATATTAGAAAGTATGACTTCATGTTGTACTCACTTCAGTACTGCTTCTCTTTACAAATACTTAGTAGAGAAATTTTTTAGATGATGAACATTAAAAACTATTGTTTAGTATTAAAGTTTACTTTTAACTCTTTAAAAAATAGATTTGACTCTGAGCATGGTGGTACCAGCTGTTGCAATCTACTATTTGAAACAAATCTTCAGCCATCTTTGTATTCCACTTCCATTTTGTTTCTAAGGTGAAATTAAGTTCAAATTTTAAAACTTTTCAACTTAGCTTCTTGGAAGTGGTAATTCATAGCTGGCACTAGCAGACCCTGCAAGAGGGTCAAGCTGACCTTATATTTTAATATGATTCAATAGTATTAAAACTCATGCTTTATTATCTATTCACTTGACTACATTCTGGTTGCACCCTTCTTATCTATACATATCTGGCTACACTTTGGATGTACTCTAGAAGACCTTAAGCCATGCCACTTACCTCACTTAGGACTAATCAGCCTAAAGGTTAACTGACAGTACTTTGTCTAGTTAGCCAAAATGTGTTACTGCCATTCCATATCTTTTGCATTTGGTTCTTTCTATAAAAAACCCTGTTTCGAGAACATGTAGATGTCACAGTTAGACTCCCGACTCCTTACTATGGCCCTGATCGATCAGCTTGGAAAGGGTATTCTATAAACCATCCGTATCTAACTGACACCAGAGTCTGAGTGGTTTGTGCAGCTATTTTTATACTAGAATTCCCCTCTCTAGTCTAAATAAGATGGAAAGGAGAGATGGTTTGCTGCAGCTCGCAAGATGGGGAATTTTGTAAATTGGGGTCAATAGTCTTTAATTTGTCAACGCAATTTTTGATCTTATTGGGGGGGGATATAAACTGTGGTAATGAGGCCAGAGGGCTGAGCATCAGCGACTGTGGGCAAGGCAGATTTCGTCCCCCAGGAGTGACGTTTTGAGGTTTTAGCACCCAGGTCCTGCTGTGAGGGCCCAAGTCCACAACCACCAGTCATCGATATTAAGATGGGGCACAAATGGGGTCTGAGCCTGCTAGCATGACAAAACTTGGGCCTTACCCGTCATGGGAGCGGCCTCCTCCAGACGAGGTCGTCCTGTCTTAGGCGGACCAAGGCTTATATGTCTATTCCGTCTCTGAGTTACCAGACCGCTTTATGGAAAGTAACGCTTATAGATCGCTTGCCGGTAGGAGGTGACATAGCTCGCCCAAGGGTGGCCATGGAGAATTTGGAAGACCAATCTTTGTGTCAATTTTTATCACAGTTTACCACAGTTAGCCAATTATAACAGCCAATTTAGGAAGCTGCAGGAACCATTAGGGAGACACCACTTATTTGCCCTTAACTAACAGGCAGAGCCATGACCTCCCCCCAGTCGTCTTGAGGGACGAGAAGTCAAGACATTGAGGTGCTGTGTCACTCTCGTTCACGGTGGAGTTCATGGGGGGGGTCTTCCGTGGTACTCAGGCGATGATAATGGACTGCAACAGGTTTCATTGCTGAATCTACCTGTGACTTAACAAAGCTGGTTAATCTATTAAAGGCCCAAGGGCCAAAGGAAAGGAGCAAAAGGATGCCAACAAAAGGTCCAAGCAAGCTTGGGAGTAGGGTAGTAACCCAGGGAAAAGTAGAGAACCAATTTTGATACCAGGATTCTTGTTGTTCTCTCTTTCTTTTTCTTTCTTCTAGGCTATGTTTGACTCTATCAAGACTGTCTTGCACTAGTCCAGTCTTATCAGCATAGAAGCAACATTCCTCTTTGAGAGCTACACATAATCCTCCTTCTTTGAGGAAGACCAAGTCTAAGCCTCGCCGGTTCTGGAGAACCACTTCTGATAGGGAGGCTAGAGAATCCTTGAGGTTTTGTATTCCTTGGCGGAGTTCTTGAATATCTTTGTCAACAGCAGCAGTTAATTGTGCATAATGCTGTTGAGAAGTAACAAGAGAAGCAATGCCTGTTCCGGCCCCAGCGACACTCAGGCCAAGGATGACAGTAAGTGTAACTGCTGTGAGAGGCTCTCTCTTGGTTCTAGATGAATAGGTTTTGCGCTCCCAAAAGTTTAGAAAGTTATCAGAATTATATATAAAAAGCCGAGGGAGAATGGAAACAACTACACAAAAATCTCTTTTTGTAAGAAAGACCGAATTAACTATATAGGTAGTTAATCCAAGAGAGCAAGCCAGGTAAGTATTATCAGGAGCTTTAGTATAGGTGAAGGAATTATTTACAACAGAGGTTTGATTGCAAACTTGTAATAAGGAAGCGGGTGGAAGCATATTTGGTCCTAATAAGCAATGACCTAAGCCTGATACCATACTAAGGGTGAGGCCTCCTGATGTATCAGCAGCCCATAAAAGGGAATTGGTATCATTGGTAGGGATGGGATCTGCAAAGGAGGCAATACCCTCATAAAAGGGAGGTGTAGGGGAAAAGCAGATCCAGCATTCTTGGTACTCGGGTAAGCTGGTATTATGCATAGCCTCAAGGGAAGCATTAACCAAGGAAATAATGAGATCAGCAGATGAGGGAGGTCCAGCAGGGATGGTAGGTTGAAAGGGAGCAGTTGATGAAGGCATGGTAATAGTGGGCAGAACGGTGGGCTTATTTTTTGGGGCAGGCTTAGCAGGCTGATGTAATACTTTATTAGGCCCGATGGCTGTAGAGCCTCTATTAGGAATGTTTTTAGTTAAGCTTATCTTAAAAGTTAGACCAATATCTTTTTCATGCATGTATGCTCTAAGTCCCCATTGATATCCTTGGCCTGTCTAATCTTTTTGTTTTTCTTGATTAGAAAACTGGATCAGGAGGGGATTACACCATCCTTTTGTAGCTGTATTAGCGGCATTACATTGTTGTTTTAGTTGGTCTGGGATATGATTAGGGGTCACACCGGGGTAACGACTTTTTCTTTTAACAGTAATGTAATCCCAGGATGAGGAGGGTTTTAAATATTCATCTCTGGTAGTCTCGCAACCCCAGGATGCACAA